TTTAAAAAATACTCTTAATTTTTTTTATTTATTTTTTTAAATGTTGTGTGTGTGGGTGTGTGTGTGTGTGTGTGTGTGTGTGTGTGTGTGTGTGTGTATGTGTGTGTGTGTGTGTGTGTGTGTGTGTGTGTGTCGTTTTGACCCATAACCGGTATGTGCGGTATTATTTGTATGCTACATAGGTGTGTGGTCTTTTGTTTGCGTTGTGTACGGTTGGGGTGTGGTGTTCTATTTCTGGTGTGTGGGATAGCATTCAGTAGGTTGTAGTGGGGGTGTACTGGAGAGGACTTTTTTTTAGTTTATGCGATTATTTATTATTTATATTTATAGTATTTTATTTTCTTTTCAGTTCCTTCAGTTCGTAGGGGCTGCATCGGTTCAGAGGGATTGTGTGGGACAGTTTTGTGTATGACATTTAGGAGCCTGGGTATAGCTGTTGGTCTGCTCCAGGTCCGACGTTTTGCCCGACTTTTGTCTAATTTGGCTTGGTCCAATGGTTTTTTTTTTTTTGCCTACCCCCCCCCCCAACGGGGGGTTGGTAATCATGACCCTTGTAGGCTGGGATTGTCGGTACCCAGTGTTACCCTGTGTTAGTTTGGCCCTTGGATAATTTTAGGCCTGTTTTTTTGACATAGAATCTGCCTTTCATTTTGGTCATTTGAGTTGTAAGTAGGAGGAAGTGGGACTTTTTTTCGTCGTAAAGCTTGTGCTGCTTCTGATAGTCTATTTTCGAATACTGAGGGATAGATAAATAGTAATTGTGAATACGCCTTTGGTCTTTTTTCCGGATCCGACGTCGTAATATCCGCTATGCAGCGGTGTTTACGCATGGAGGTGGGTTTGTGGAAGTTGACGAGAAGTCTAGGGAGATGAGGGACGGTTCCCCCTGAAGAGACAGCGTGGCGGCTGTTGAAACCGGTAGGGGTGCCAACCCGCCAGAGTTGTATTTTGATTACTATACTGTATAATATGTTTTGCATGTTTTCACATGTCGGACTTTTTGTACTTGTCTGCGTTTAATCATCTGATCTACGTTTGTCACCTTCATCACAACTCGTTAAGGCTCGTGCGAACCAGCTGGGAAGTTGCCTAGCAAGTGTGAGCACATTATTTGTTTTCACTGAGTGTTTTATTGTGATTCACTGAGATTCACGGTGTTCGTCGTCGTCTTCTTTTCACGTTTGAAGAGTTGATGTCATCAAGTTTCGACACAGCTGGGGAAGGGTGACGTGCGTTCATTCCGACGCCGTTTTGTAAGGATGTCGGACTCTTGCGTGTGCATAAAATCACATGCCTTGTGACCACGCTGATCATACAAGCCCGGAGGACTAACATCGAGGGCGATCTTCTCCTCTTTCTCTTTGGATCGGTACGGTCGGGGCGCTGCCAGTTGATTGCGCAGGAGCTCATTGCGCCGATCGTGCAATTGGCAGACGATCTCTCGCCCGACATCTATTCACAAAGCGACGACAGCCCTGCTCCATACGTTCTCGAACGGTCATTGGATCCAAACCTACAGTGGACGGCCTGTTTGGAGGAGCCCAGGGACGAAGATACGCTTCCTTCACGGCAGGAGTATCTGAAGCCTTATGACCTCATCCCTCACGCCTTCTATCCGAAGGGAGAGGAAGTGGTGATCGACGAGGATGAAGAAGACGAGGACGAAGAAGACGATGACGAGGAAACGTTGGAGGAAGGGAGCTATAGCGAGTATAGCGAGGACGGGCTGAGTGAAGAAGAAGAAGAGGAGGAAGAAGAAACCGGGTCTGAGTGGGAGGCCTTGCCGGAGGAAGCGGCGCGCACGGGCACGGAGGCGGAAGATCCGGAAGCAGCGCGAAAGCGCGAAGAAATTGCCACCGGGAAACGTCAGCTGGAGTTTGCCAGCGGAGCCAGCTTGCGCATTGGTAACGATCCGACCAGGGATCCGGAGCCTCCGAAGCGCGAAGATGGCGACCTAGCAGCAGCCACCCCAAGCGCAACGCGACGGAGACGGAGCCGATCCTCCTCCTCCTCCAGCCCCACCCGTCCCGCGGTTCGCCCACGTACCGATGCGGGAGATAGGCCTTCGTCCTCGGACGCTATCCCGCCGACCCCTTGATTTTCTCACCCTCGAACAGATCCGCACCCCCGTCACCTTCCCCCTCCATCCCTTCCTTCCCCATCTCTTTCGCGATTTCTACTCTACTCGCCTACTCGCTACCGTCCACCCCCACCCATCCCTTCAGCCCGCTGCTCCCACGTTCTGCTGGCATATCGTGCTGTTCAGTGCTGCATGGGAACGATGCAACGTGGTAGAAGTCTACTGCGTAGCCATGGGGACAATCCCCGCTTGTCGCCACTACGAGTTCTTTCGAGCGGCGTTTTTCCGCACCCTCTCCTCCTTCTATTGCGACTACCTCGCTTCCCTCCCTCGCAGCGGCGATCACTTTCCTCGCTTCCACCGGATCATCCGATATGAGGAACTTCTGGTGACAGTAGAAAGGGTGAATCGCTACCTACCTCCACTTCCTTCCCGATGTCCCCGTGAGATCCCCCACATGTACCGCCTCTACTGGCCCATTCCAACTAGGAGGTAGATCACGATCACGTGACTATTCCCCCCCCCCTCCCCCCTTTCCTCTCTTCATCTAATCGGCAGGGGAGAACGACACGAATCAGTAAGCTTCACAAAGACCACGCCATCGACGATGACGTCAACCTTCGCTCTGATTCGACGGGCAACGATAAATTGGGGTGCAGAGCACACGGAGAACCAGCGGACGATGATGGCGTCACCTGGACGACCATCGATGACTCCAGCAGCACGAGCCAACATATCATTGCAATTGAAGATGGAGTCAACATGGACTCTGGCTGGATCGTTTGTTGATACGCTTGGTTCCTCATGCATCACTATGTTCTCTCTCTCCCTCTCTCCTTCTTCGCCACAACATGCAATCAGGAGATCACATAATTTTGGAACCCCCTGCGCGTCACATATGTGATGAACCACTTCCTGAACCTATGCTATCTTTTGTACCCTTTTTGCTTATATCATACCAACCCCATAAAAACCCCGTTTTGTTTTTTTGATTTCGGGTGCCGCGTTTCGGGCCCCCATCTTTCGGAAGCCTTTTGGGTTCTGCTTTTTCTTTTTGCAATTCGGGAAATACATAGGAATTTCTTTCGTTGCGCAATAGGAGGATCCTATTGCTCCACGTACTTGATTGGCGAGCGGGAGTTATCGAAGGATCGACCGGGCGTCGTGCGCTGAGTCGGAGGGTGAGAAAGAAAAAGGCGCGAGAAGTAGCGCAAGACGGGTCCAAGATTCAGATGATCAAGAAAGGGAAATGAGCGCGCAAAGAGCGAAGCGGGAGAGAGAGAGAGAAAGAAAAAACAGTTACGAGGAGAGAGAAAGAGGAGGGGAGAAAAATGAGCGCGGGAGAGAGCGATGCGGGGGACAGAGAGGAGAAAGCTTCGCATGCGTCAACAAAAAGAGAGAAAAAGGCACCGAAGCAGTTACAACTTGCCTCTGTCCTAAACCAATTCAAAATTGAAATCACCATATCCGCGCGCGAAAGAGCGACGCGGGAAAAGAAAGTCCTACGCCTATTCATATCCCCACAAGATTCCGAGAGTTTTCCCCAACGCGACCGAGAACATTCACACACAAAAAGGACACGTCGAAGTTCCGCTTATCCCGAAATTCCCAACCGCGAGTGATTGGCCCATGGTCATATTGGAAGTCACGACGAATGCGCCTTTTGTTGTTGCGGATCTTTGTCTCGAGCATGAGTGTGCGGCGGCAACGCCGAACTTCCTCTTTTCGGATCTTGTTATCCCCTATCTCGACATTCCTCCCTCTTCTCTCTCTTTCCTCTACCTTTGAATGATGATGTGTCTCGATGTTTGTCTCTCTGCGTGCTTTCCTGTGTGAAAGAACTTCTTCCGGAACTCTTCCATTAGTTTTCTGGGTAATCCCCAGATGTCGAGGAGTTAACGCTCTTGTCTTGTGAACGGTGGATGTGTGTGTACACTTCCCTCGGTTGGTTTCCGACCTGTGTATCCTTGGCATTTTCGCACCTTCCACAGTGAATGTATGTATGGAAATACTTGCCTTTTTGCCGCACTTAGCGGGATTTTGTTCGAGAATGCAAGAGTATTTAGATCTGTAGTTCTAAATTCATTGCGCATGCCATCTGCCTTATGCTGCACCACATTTGCAACCGATCTACAGGACAGCCTCGAGAAATAAGGCGCCTGGGGCCAACACTGTAGTGGCTTACAAAAACTTGAGTCGCGGATCAATCCCTTTGATTACATGCATAATCGAGTTGATGAAGTTTTTTTTTCTCTCTCTCTCGTGTGGAAAAGGATTGATTGGTGATTGCGCGAGTGTCCTTTTTTTTCTCGATGACGTCTCAGAATTTGTGCAATTGATTGACATGTGGACCGACAAGCACCCTTCGATCAGGCGTCAACCTCCCATACCCCCCTATCAACACGACATTTTCCTTACAACGAGGAAAGGACACGTGTATGCGAGTGGGACGTACGAGAAGCTGTCGCACGAATCGGCGGATGTAGCGGACCCACCAGGTGTGGTGCTCCGCTTGTGACAAAGATGGAGATGGAGGAAGAAGGGGGGAGCGAGATGGCACAACGCAGCTCCCCACGCAAGACTCCAACACACGTACTCCAAAATGTAAAAGTGAAGAATGAGGGTGAAAACAGACAATGGCTGGGGTATTCCCCACCGGACTGACGGGACTGGACTGGACTGGCTGGTACCGACAGAGGTACCGGCCTGGACTGGCCTACCCCGAATACAACACAGGCCTGTGAGAAGAGGCCAAGGGGCTGGTCTCACAGGCCAACCCGAGGTCCGCTACTCGATCCTCGGCCTGTGATGGATCGCCTAGATACAAACATGCTTCCGCCAAGAAGCGGAACTCTACCAAAGAAAAGAAAACCTGAGTAGTCTAGGATGCGGAGCAAGCTCCATGCTGAGTCCTTGCGATGGAACCTAGGATATAAAATGTCACAAAACAGCAATGTCACAGCTAACAGCCTAAGTGAAAGTAGGAGCAACTAACTAACATACATGTCCTAGGAAAGCAAAAAGTAGTGACAACTAGATCCTAGAATGTTGGAGGCACTAGCCTCAGTCTGGTAACAACTGACTAGTGTATAAGTCCTAAGAACAACAAAAGCAGAACAACTAAATCCTAGAAATGTTAGAGGCAGTAGCCTTAGTCTGCGAGCAACAAAGCAACAACAAGTCTATCATATGTCACATGAGAAGTGTGTCGCATACCAAAGGGTGGGATGGTCTCTGAGGGTGGCGAATGCAGCCTAGGGGTCAAAAACTCCTAAGGGCATCCACACATAGATAATAGGGAGGCACATGTCATCAGGCTCAAGGAGGGTAGGGAACTGAGAGCAAACAGAACCAATGACCCTAACAGATAGACCATCAGGGCGGGTAATGCTCGACTTAGGGGTGACCGCTATGGAGGGTCGACCATGCAAGGGAACAAGGGAGCCTGGTATACTGGGCGCACCTCGATGAAGCATGCGGGGCTGCCTAACTAGGGCGTGAGGGCCGGCGAAGGGTAGAAAGATGATGGGTAAGGGAATCATGCAAATGACTCCTAAAGTGAGGGAAGTCGGAGCTAGATCCGTAAGATGGAAAGCCAGGGCAACGCTACGGTCCCGATGCCTATGCGTATACCAAGGGAGAGCCCAACTCAGAGGAACCCGGCTAAAGGGAGACCATCATGCGACACAAGCAGGGTACTGTACAGGGTAGAGTGGTAAGAGAGTGGCGACGTCTGAAGTAGGCAGAGTTGATCGTGATAAGGTCCATGGAGCTGTCGATGACGTCCACGATGAGAACTCCGGAATGCCGTCGAGGAAGAGCCGTAGCGTTGACGAGCTGAAGTAGCAAAACTGATGTGGATGGAGTACTGAGAAGTCAAAGACTTGGGAAGGTAAGTCAGAGTCAATCGTCGTATCGAGCAGGACGACGACGAGCGCGCTGTGGACGCTCATAAACATCCGGCTGTTGCTGAAGGTCTGCCTCAGATGGAGCATGCTCGACTTCAGCGGTCTCCTCAGTCGGAGGAGAAGGAGGAGGGTCAGTGGGCTGAGGAGGAGCAGTGAACCCAGCATGACAAGCACGGTCATAGGCACGCACCAACATGCGAGCGTGCTACAAGTGCTCGAGGGGCTCCCAGGTAGCCTCCTCATCAGGGTAACCCTTCCAACGTACGAGATACTCGACGTGGGAAGGGTTGTCGTCGGTGACTCGGCGACCAATGATGTCTGAAACGAGGAACTCCCCGTGGTCGTCCACCATGAGGGGTGGAGGGCGCTCGTATGGTCGTCCAGCGAGACGCTCAGACGGTCTGCGGTAAGGATGCAGTAACGAGACGTGGTAGACATCATGTACACGAGCCTAGCGTAGGTAGTCGGACAGCTTCACACGAAAGTTGACCGGGCTAGATGCCGTATCAGAACCGACGACCTGGAGGATGCGGCATGGGCCAAAGAAGCGACGCCGAAACTTGCGAAGCGTGTCCGCTTCGAGCTGTAAGTGGTGGGCGTCGATAAGCACATCATCACCGACCTTGAATGGGTGATCCATCCTCGATCAGTTCGCACGTGCTGCCATGCGAGTCTGGGAAGCGGCTATGTGCTCATGTGCGGTCTTCATAATCGACGTCATGTGTGCAACCCAATCATCCAGCGCGGGACAACTCGTTTCAGGGTGCATCTGGGACGGTCGAAGGAAGTCCGCGGAAACACGCGGGTGATAGCCGAGGTCGCAATAGTAAGGCGACATCCCCGTGGCTGGCGAAAGGGCGTGTTTGTAGGCTATCTCTGTGTGGGCAAGATAGAGATACCATTGCTGGTCGTCGTGAACAATCTTTCGGAGAATATCTCCGAGAGTCCTGTTGGTGATCTCGGTTTGACCATCAGTCTGAGGATGGTAAGACGAGGAGAAGCGGACCATAGTGCCATACACCTCGTGGAGCCGTTGCCAGAATCGGTTGGTAAGGCACGGGTCACGGTCAGATATGATGCTCAGAGGTAAGCCGTGGTCACGCACGACTCGGTCAAACACGATGTCGACGACCTCACATGCACTGATGGCATAGCGGCACGGAACAAAGTGTGCACGCTTCGTGAAGCGGTCGACGACGACCAGGATAGCATCATGACCACGAGGGGTCGGAGGACGAAGGGGACCGATGAACTCCATCGAGATGGACTGGCAACGACCCTCAGGGATAGGAAGAGGCTGGAGCAAACCATAAGGCAGGTGGTTCACACTGTTCACCTCCTGACAGGTGGGACACTCTGCGACGTAGTCCTTCACAAAGTCCTTGCGCTTCGGCCAGACGTACAGGCGGCTCACACGAGCCAACGTCTTGTGGAAGCCCATATGACCGGGAGCTGCCTGGTCATGGAACTCTGCTACTGCTCGGACACGTAGCTGTCCAGTGGAGGGAACGCAAATACGGGGCTCTCTGGTGCCCTGTGAACCGTGCCAGTACACAAGACCGTTGTCCACGAGAGAGTAATTCGGGATGGTCTTACCACTCCGAAGGGTCGCGTGGATGTCGCGATAGTCGGGGCAGTGGCGGTACTGAGTGCGAAACTCGTCGATCACCGAGTGGTGGACGGTGSTGACCRAGATGGAAGAGAGCTGGATGTGCTCCTGGTCGTGGTCAAGGCGTCGGGATAGGGCATCTGCGACCCGATTAGTCTCACCCTTGATGTGCTCAGTGGTGAAACTAAACTCGGATAGGTCGCGCCACCAGCGAGCCTGTCGAGGAGTGAGCTTCGGCTTTGTCCGAAAAGCCTGGGCAACAGAGTTGTCCGTGCACACCGTGAATGGTGCCCCGTGCAGGTAGTGACGCCAGTGCCGAGCGGTATAAACTATTGCGAGAACCTCACGTTCATGGGCTCGTCAGTAGCTGGACGAGAAGGCGTCAGTCGGGAAGCAGTGATAGGGGTAGGTGGTGGGAAGCGAGGGATACGAGGATGAGAGGAATTCGGAGAGGAGGGGAAGACCTGAGAAAGCACTGCTCCTACAACAAAGTCTGACGCATCGGTGGTAAGGATAAAAGGGCGATCGAAATCGGGTAGGTGAAGAACCGGTGCGCATGTCACCGCCTTCTTGAGGGTGCGGAAGGCGTCCTCGTGGAGGGGTGTCCAAGCCCAGGGTGGGTTCTTCCGAAGAGGGTGGAGGTAAGGACTTAGGAATACCTAGCGTATCCCCGGATGAAATTACTATAGTAGCTGGTCAGGCCTAGGAAGCTGCGAAGCTTGGCGGATGTGGGGGCGGGCCACTCCGCAATAGTAGTGATCTTCGCGTTGTCCATGTGGAGACCAGCCTCCTCCCAGCCCCAACGCACGGGCTACGCCTCCTCCTCCTCTCACGGCACTTCCCAGCGCCGTTCCCCTTTCCGCAGTCGCCCCCGCCGTTCCACGCCGCAGGGCCGCCACTTCTCGCGCCGCTTCAGCGCGCTGGAGTATGGTGAGCAGGACTCTGTTGCCCCACTGTCACCTGAGGGCAACCACAGCAACGACCTCGACCTCTGCGAGGCCGTCCAATATCACTTGGAGGACTTTACCCTCCCTGCAGCAGAGCGCCTTCAGCTCGCGCTCTCCGCCCTCTCTCGGGCACGCAGCCACCCCGGTCACGCTGACGCGTCGCCCCCCGAGGTCCCTCAGGAGGACCTCCCTCAGGGCTTCGTCCCTCCTCGCGGTGTCCTTTCCGCTGAGGAGCGCGCAGCTATTTTGGGCTGACGTGGGTGTTTGCGCTGCCGCTTGGATGGTCATACCTCCTCGCGGTGCCCTTACACTACCGCCCTCGACCGCCACTACGCTGACCTTTCTCGTCAGCGTCGTGCTCAGTCCCCCCCCGGCGCCTCACGTCCCCGCGGCGCCTCACGTCCCCGCGGCGCCTCCTAGCCACGGTGCAGTGTACACCTGCGCCCTCCTCAGTAGTGGGCTTCCCGACATCTCCGTCGCGGTTCGCCCCTCTCGCTACTGGAGTTGAGGTATCGCAGGACTCGACAGAGTGTACTCAGTCCTTTGTGGCAGTACCGTCTGCGCCTCCGCAGACCACCGTCTCCCCTCCTTCCCCGTCGCGACTACCGATGCGTCGAGCCATTCGCTCAGCCCGTTGCGGCGAGCAGCTTCCTACTCGCGAGGACGTTGTGTCCTCTTTTTTGGACTTGAGCATGCTCCAGGCTCGTCAGGAACGACTCACCCTCCATGTCGCTGCACTGTGTCGCCTTCTCGCCATCCTCTCTGACCCCCTACCGCACCCTCCCGATCATCCCAGTACGACTCGGGACCTCCACGAGGGTGTACTCAGCGCTGTGGGATTCCGGTTCTCAGGGCGACTTCATTCACCCACGCGTGGTGAAGGAAGCTCGCTTACCCACGACAGGGTCTCCGACTCCCATCTCCGTTACCCTAGGGGATGACAAGACCCAGCGCTTCTTCGATMAGACGGTCACCGACCTCCCCTTCTTYCTCACTCTCRARCCGACTGAKCGTTCCCCGGCGTCTCGTAGCCACCGCTCCTCTGCACATTTCGATGTGATGGAGACGGGGTACGACTTCATTCTCGGCACTCCGTGGTCTCGTCGGTTCCGCAGCACCGAGGCCGATTGGGCGACCAACACTCTCGTTCTCAAAACGAAGTGTGGACAGACGTATCGCGTACCTTTCATAGGTATCACGACGACACCACGCCCCGATCCTCCTCCCCCGGAGCCTTTAGTGCCCACACCATCTCCCTCTATCACTGTCACCTCGCCTCGGCAGTTCGCTCACTTCATTCGACAGGACGACGTCACCTTCTTTGTGGTGGACATGACGGATCTCTTACACTATGATCCACCCTGTCCCGACGCCGAGCTCATCCCTCTCGAGCCAGATCCTCCCTCTATCTCCATGGCTCCCATCTCTACTTCCGTCCCTCCCCCATCCGTCGAGTCCACCCCGCTGTCGCGCGCTGACGTTGACGCTGCGGAACTCGCACGATATATGGCTGACCTCGAGCCCTCAGTTCATGACCTCATCCGAGAGTACCACGACGTTTTTCCATCGTCGTTCTTGTACGTCGGCATGCCACCGATGCGTGATGTCGAGCACTCCATTCAGCTTGTGCCTGACTATCGTGTTCACCACCAGGCACCCTACAGACTCTCGATCCCCGAGGCCACCGAACTCAAGCGTCAGCTTGAGGAGCTCCTCAGACTGGGTTTCATTAAACCCAGCAACTCCCCGTGGGGTGCACCCGTCCTCTTTGCTCGCAAAGCGGATTGAACTCTCCGTCTCTGCATCGACTATCGCGGTCTCAATCGCTACACGGTTAAGAACAGCTACCCCATGCCTCGTTCTGATGAGCTGTTCGACTGCCTAGCAGGCAACCGCTTCTTTACGAAGATTGATCTTCGTAGCGGTTACCATCAGATCTGCGTCGCTGCAGCCGACCAGGCGAAGACCGCGTTCCGATCGCGATTCGGCCACTACGAGTTCACGGTGATGCCATTTGGCCTCACCAACGCAGCCGCTACCTTCCAGAGGGCGATGAACGACATCTTCAGGGACATCCTAGAGCAGTACGTTCTCGTCTACCTCGACGATATCCTGGTCTATAGTCGTACCCTTGAGGAGCACCTCAGACACCTCCGCGACGTCCTTGGTTTTGCTTGAGGGGGTCCAAGACCCACAAACCTCCTTGGCTGAGTGGTCTGGACCACTTTAGGAATAAATCCCTGTTCCTCAGTTGTCGATGGCTTCCAAAGGTAACGTGCAGCAACTCTCTTAATCTTCCTGTAAGCTTCCTCCCCTAACAAGCATACTGCCAGGGGGAACCAGAGTGTTAAAAAGGCAGCAGCAGATAGAACTAAAGCTCTACCAAAAAGGGAAAGAGTGTGCCTCCTTTCCCACTTTGTCATCCTCATAACAACTTGTCCACCATTATATTGTCCTGCGCCGAAGAATAGTCTGATAGAGAAATCTGTATTCCCAAAAACCTATCAGAAGAAGAATCAGGGACACGACGCAGGCCCCACTCCACACACAACTCGAATTGGCGGGGGAGGAAAAAACCAATTTATCCCAATTTATTGAGGCTTCCGATAAATCACAATACTTATCAATAATCTTACGTAGTTCAAGCAAGCAATCTGAAGAATTCATGCAGGCCACGGTTAAGTCATCAGCAATGGCCCCCACCTTCCAATGTAGTGAAGGGGGTGACCCCCTCAAACCTTCTATATTACTACTAAATCTTATATTGTCAAGCAATACTTCTAGTTGAAGAACGAAAATCAATGGGGCCAGGGGGCATCCCTACCTCAGGGAGCGTGTCAGGGTAAATTCTTCGGAAAGCTTTCCATTCACCACCACTGCGGCAGTAACATTCGCGTATAGAGTTTTAGTCTATATAAGAAACTTTGGTCCAAAACCCAACCTCAGTAGCGATGTATTCACGAACGCCCAGCCTACCTTGTCATAAGCTTTTTCCATGTCAAGCATCAGGATGGCGAGGTTCCTTCTCTCTTTTCCAATAATTTCAAAGGCCTGAATCGTCGTTAAGATATTTTCAAAAATAAACCTCCCCTTGACAAACGCACCCTGTTCTACCCCCACCAAAGAGGGGAGAATTTCCGCAAGTCTGATGGCAAGGATCTTCCCTAACAGTTTATTGGTCACATTAAGAATGGAGATCGGACGCCAGTTGCGAACCTCTCTTTTGTCCCCTTTTTTGTAGAGGAGAGAGATCATCCCGCGGGCCACCCCTGTTGGTAGAGTGCCCGTCGAAATAACTGTGTTATAAATCTCACACAAAAAGGGGGCAAAGACTTCCCATGCACAAAGAAAAAGTTCTATTGGCAGGTCATCTGGGCCCGGACATTTGCCCAAAGCCATCTGTTTGGCTTCCAACCATGCCTCTTTCTCTGAGATGGGTGCCTCCAAGAGGTCTCTTTGAACCAAGGGAACTTTGTCTTGAGTCTTATTTCAGAAGTTTGGTTGTCACTATGTCCTTGAAATATTCCATTGCATAAGAACATATTTGAGTGGTTTCTGTTGCAAGAGGAGCCGTTAGCGCAAAAGGATGGGTCAATTCCCTCATGAGAGGTTTTGCTTGACAAAGGATCAGCGACCGGAAAGTGAGTTTAGTCATCCGATCATAACCAATAACCCCTCTAACCTTCAACCATTCCAACCAGTCAGACTGACGCTGGATTTCCAATTGCTCAAGTTCAACGCATGCCGCAGTTCTCCCACTTGACCAATAATATTCCATGAAGGGGTCGTCCCCCATTGAATTTTCTGCTTTTTCAATAGTGGCTAATAGGAGTTTTCTTTCCATGAGCGAGCAACTACCTTCATCCTGGAGAATTCCTCCACGGCAGCCTGTATAATGGCGATCCCAGTGTCTGCCCACTCCTTGACACTAAGGAAGAGGTCTCTAGCCTTATCCCAGTCTTTCACCTGCGTGGAAATCCAAGACGGGATCCCTGGATCTTTCAAGATTTTTACATTCAATCTGAACGGGGGTTTGTACTTTTCGATAACATCTTTTGCAATAATATCCATGACCACCGGGTTGTGGTCTGACATCGACCCATACATCAGTTCAGCCCCAATGCAGCGGTCCCAGGGGGAGTCCCGCGCGTAAATAACATCCAATCTTTTTTTTGGTTGAGGGGCTCGAGGGGAAGGCCTGGGGCCCTGCCAAGTGTAGCCTGCTGAGTCGGGGTTCAAGGTCCGATATGTATAAAAAAGACCCTGGGAATTAACCAATTCAAGGAGTAATTGCCCATCCATTCTTAGGGGCCCCGGACGTGGGGAGTCGAGACCTGGGGCGAGGACTGCATTCCAGTCCCTTGCCAGTATCAAATTTTCCGTATCAGGAATGTATTTTGGTAAGTTCGCAAAAAAATCGATACGGGCAGGGCATTCGACTGGCGCATAAACTGACATTACCACCCAATCCTCATCTTCAACCGCTATTTTCACCCAGGCCCAACGACCCTCAGTGTCTGCACGACTATCTAGGATTTCTACATCCAAATCTTTGTTAATGAGTACTGCGACCCCTCCCTTCGACCTATCTACTGGAGCCCAAACTTGCGGGTCCATCCACCATCTTTGGGCTTCAATAATTTTTTCCGCATCAAGTTTGGTTTCCTGTAAACAGATAAGGTGAGCATTTTTAGAGTAAATCCAAGAGGACAGACGATTTTTTTTAAAGGTATTATTAGAGTCACCTAAACCTCTCACATTCCAGTTCAGGATTCTGATTTTATTGGGAAGGACCATTAGATAAGTCCTTGCCGTTGTTGAGTTGGATTCAGCTATTGTTTGGGTCTAGCCCAGTTACTGCTAGAGTAGGCTGGGCCTGAGGTGTAGGGGCAGCCCTTTTTGCTATTTCTGCCTGAGTTTTAAGGATCTGTTCCCTGAAGGACGCTGACTGCGTCAGCCGTAAGTTATATGAGTGGATTAACCAATCAGCTACCACCTAGGCTGACAATGAGTTGGCCAGGTTTATGCTTTGCAGCATAACCGAGTGCGGGGAAGCAAAATGGGATACATCTACCCAGTGGTGTTTTTCTTCGACTCTTTTGCGCAATTTTGATGCCTGGCGCAAGCCATCTTTTCGTTCGTGGTTATCTTGGGTTTTCTTTGTCTGTGAACTAATGAATGGTGGGGTCTATCCCTCCCCCGCTTCGTACTCCTTCTAACTAGCATGCCGACTCGGTCAACTGGTTGCCCACACTTGATCTACGTATGCTCTCTGGTTGGTTCGCAGAAATTATGGTATGATGTGAGTGACTGGATGTTTTGATGAATAAGTGCTTGTCGTTTCCACACCCTTTTTCCTCCCTGCAATATGGATAAGCATGCCGATTGATTAGATGATTGTCTCACTTTAAGCTTACTAGCGACCACTCTTTGCCGACGGGTCGATGTATATGCATTAAAAATTGGGAGAATTCCCAGCCTGTTAAAGGAAGATCTTGTGCACACATGTATACGCCTGGCCAAGGGAGGTCATCACGTACACGCGTGTCTATAGGATCCACGAGCACCACGAATGTATGGATTCTCACCCCACCACGCAGTATGAATATAGAGACTCCCTTCCGGATCACTGACCGCGAGTACTTGAGGGATCACGAGTTCCGAGAATATTGGGAACGCGCATGTTTCTCTGCAGGCTCGAGGGCAGGCTCCCGGAGTTTCCGTACCCAACAGGAACTGCGAGTGGGCCATTGGGCGGGCCTTAGAATGTATTCTCCACTTCCCCGCCTGTCCCAGCTCGAGCACGTGTCAGATCCTCACTGAACCAAGCATTGTTATCCTTGAAACGAAGTTCCCTCCCTATCACCGTCTATTGCCCTTTCACTGCCTGACCATTGCCCCTTCGCATGCACTTGCCCCCTATTGGCCACAAGTTCCCCACAACCGCAGTGTTCCGAGTGCCTGCGAGACCAAGCCTACCGAGCATCGAGATTCATCCGGCGAACCCGCTCGGAAGCCGAGCAACGGGAGCACAGCCTCCGGCTAAGGCTGGCCACATCCGATTCTGAGATCTGCGACACTCGCTGACGACAGGTGTTGTACCAGCGGGACAGCCATAACGTCCCGAGGTTACACAGAATACGAATCCGTCCCAGGCCATGGGACCAACGGAGGTGATCGCCCCGTTCCACGAGGCCTCAAACAGAACCCTCGTCCTCCACCCACCCACTTGCATTCAAATCCCTGGGATTTGACGCAGGAGATCTCAGTTCGGACCTGGGACTCCACCCCTATCTTCCTAAAATCCTTGGCACACCCCTTTTCGCACTTGCAGGCCCACCATCACTACGAAACAGGAAGTCGTGCCGGGCATGAGGTTGGGCGTCACAATGGCCCCCGAGTGGATATGTGTGGTCCCAGGGGTTTTAAGTTTGCTATTCCAAGTGAGATTTTCTCTGGAAAAAAAAAAGATAACTTTTGGCCAAAATCAAGTGTAATATCTGTTCTGGTGAACTTAAAATCTGATCCGTGGGCGAGATGGGGTTACAGGAAAAGAAAAGAGACAAGAAAACAATTAACCGACCCCCAAAACAAAAAGGGGAATTTTGATATGCCCCTGCAGCCTGCCCCTCCGATGGCTGACTTACTGGAAATTTGGAACCAGTACTGATAGGGGCATATTGAACATATTTCAGGCCCAAACAACACAAGGGTTTTTTTTCGGAAGAGAGGGGAGCAACAGGGTTAGCCTACCGTCAGCCGCAAATAAATCGAACTTTCAGGGGCATATCCAAAATTTTCCCAAACGAACAAAATAAGAACTGATACAGGGACCAACGGGACGAGCTCAGTTGGTACACGCATGAGCTGTTGAAAATTGGCCTGAGCTCCACTACAGATAAACTATATACAATTAATTACCTAGGGTCGGTCAGTTCGACAGTAATACTCAGTCGTCCCCCTTTAAGAAAGGAGAGAAAAGAGAAGAGGTGAAGAAGAAAAAAAAGAAAGGGAGAAAAAAAAGGAGGAAAGAAGGCAAAAAAAGAAAACAGATACAACTTATGCTCTAAAAAACAGTTCAAGGGATTCGTTTGATGATACAATGCCATGCCGGCCACTGTTCAAAAAAGAAACAAAACCAAAAATGCGAGTGGGTGGTACATTGTGTCAGAGAGAGAACGGAGTGTACACACACACACACACACACACAGAGAGAGAGAGAGAGAGAGAGAGAGAGAGAGAGAGAGAGAG